AACTTTTTTTCCTTGTCTTGTTACTTATGGGACACCCTGTAGTACTTCATATCGATTCGATCAATTAGTCGTTAGAAGAATACACAAATCATTATTGTGATACTATTGAAAAAGAAAAATCTGAAATAAAAGACAAGTCTGAATTGCGTAGTGTAAGAAAATTTTACTGCAAAATAATGATCAGATATACTAAAATAGTCTTCTAATCTTTTATAAATATGTTGAATTCATTGTAGATAGAATACTTAAGATATTCCAATCAGTTGAAAAAAAATTCTATCCACAAACAGTCGAAAGTTTTTGGTTCTGAAAAATTGATAATCATTCAAAGTTTATGAATAAATAATAGCAAATCACAGAAATGTTACTGCATAATTGTAAGGATGGTATTGCTTTGGTCCCTTTCACATAAATGGCATGAAGATCATTAAAAATAGATTGCTATTACTATGTTTCACTGATATATTTGACATATCATCTTTTTTTAAATATAAAGATTGAACAAGAAATTGTATCATATCATCACTGGAAAGTATTTCTTTTTTCTAAAAGTATACGAATATGAATTACTGCAAGTGCACAATCTAGACTTCGAACCAATCCAATGTAATTTGAAATATAAATCACTATTGAATTTCCACTTTGAGAACTTCAATACGATTCATTTTTCGAACACGTGTGTTACTTAAAATATTTGTTATTTCGTCATTATAAAACTTATCGTTTTACATTATTTCTGATTACTTTTTATGCCGTATTGAGCATTACGTATTATAAAAATTATCTAAACTATTTATGAAAATGTAGGTATGATAAGTATTGAAGAAACACTGAAGCTCTAACAACTATATCTACAGACATTTCTAAATTGATGTAACCAGTTTATTGTTATTTATCATATGAAAAATTGCCCAATTCAATAACGAATTTTACTAGACATGAGAATGTGTCAACTGTTTAGTTAGTGGCTGTACTTTTATATTAGGGATGCAAAGAAAATAAAAATGTATCAATATTATCGTCAAGTAATATAGGCAAATACATTCGTTTTGTAGATGCCTGCAAGACAGACGAACAATGGTAATTACTAATAAGAAACAAGTTAGTTTAGTATTCTGAACACAATGTAAATATTAGTAAATAAATGATTTTATAGTAAATGTTATAATTTTGACGGTTAAATATAAATAATGGTTTTTTAAAGGATATGAATGTAGTGAGCAACTGTTTCCAAGTATTGTATTTCATAATCATCCTATTATTCTCTTTTTGTTGATGATTCATATGATCGTGACATGAGGAAAAATGAAGCATAATTTTTTTTTACGATAGTCTACATTGATTAAATTTACATATCTGTAGTCTATATCTATTTTGGAAAAATCTTGATATTTTTGTTTAAAATTTTATTTCGAATATGTAATCAATATAAGAAGAAAAAAACGTTAAAAAGAAATATTCTGAATTATAATATCATTTCGAATGTCAAAGTTTATATATCAATATTCGCAATACGATGGAGAAGTTCATCAAAATTATAACGATTTTTCTTTTTTGCTGATGTTGTTGCTATTGTCTTATCTTTTAATTCTTCAAAATCAATCAAATCCGGTGCCAAAGTCATAACACAATGTGCAAACCAATGATATGATTTAACCAATAAACATCCTTCACGTTGTAACTACAGAGTAGGACAGAAAAATAAAGTTTGAAATAATAAAACAAACAATATATATAAACTTACAAGTGCAGCTAAACCTCGATCAGATGTTACAACAACGGTACGATTATTTTTTTCACGATTGTCATCTTGTCGTGCTATTTCAACTAACATATCATCAGTTGTTCGATATTTAGGTTGAGCACTTGAAACTTTAATTGTACCAATTTGATCTAATTGATGTGTTGAATCAAAGATAAGTTCAACATATTGTATATGCATTTGTTCATTCCATGCAGAAGCTAATTCTCCTAAAGCACGTTCAGTTTTTTTACCAGCACGATTTAAACATAAACGACGAAGAGAATCAACGACAAACATCATATTGTTTCCATCTAAATAAACTTTTTCAATATTTTTTGGCCAATCATCACGATTATTGATTGTTATATAACTATTTTCAGCTTCAGCTAATAGTTGGCGTTTCTATCAGAGAATAAAATATTAAAAGAATTAAGTTTAAAATAAATTCTTACTAATTTTCGTTCATGTTGAGATTGATGGCGTCGTTCTTGTTCTTCGTGATTCCGAGCAATTGCCACTTCAATTGATTGATTACATTCATGAAATATTGCCAGTATTTTTTTTGGATTTCCATGAACACCAGCTGAACGAAGTCGTTTAAGATTATTAATATTATCAGCACTTAATTCACGTCGTTTTCTTAATTTTGAATCTTTTTCATCAGTTTTTTCTTTTGTTTTATCTCGATGTTTTTTATCATGTTTTTCTTTTTTTTCATTTAAAAGTTGTTTAGCAACATCAATTTGTCCATTCGCTTTTTCTAATAAACGTATTAAATTATGTTTATTTTTAACAACAACACCATCAGCTTCGAGTTGGGCTATTTCATGCGTATATTTTTTATCAAGCATTGCTAATTTTTCTTTCTTTGCTGCGCGGTGCGAGATTTTTTCCATAATCTATTATTGAATTTCGATATTTAATTATGTATTATTATATTTTTTGAAATACAAAGAAATATATTACCTTAGTAATATCACCTTGATTTTTCTCCAATCGTCGAAGTATACATGAACAATTAATATCAATACCAGCTGCACTTAATTCAGCTAATTGAGTTGCATATTTTGCTTTTAGTTCTTCTTGTTGTTCAAGTTTAGATACGTTCGAACTTTCACCATGTTTACGATGTCTTTCTAATGAAGTTTGTAAAAATTTTCGAACTTGTTCAATATCACCATTGAAACGCTCCATCATTTTCAATAAGCGAATGCGTCTCATTGATTGAATCCATGGTAGTTCTTGCTGTAATGCTGTTAATGCAGTTCCGAAACGTGTTTCAAGTGTATTACGTTTATTAGCACGATCTTCTTTTTGAATAAGGCGTGCACAAACCTAATCAAAATATTCATATTTATATTTACAAATGTTAATAAATAAACAGATAAATTTGAATCTAAATAACAAAATTATTTCAAAATGTTTTACGCTCGATATATATGTATTGAGCAACCTCCATTCACCCGCATGGGAGGTATTAGCGGGCTTTGAAATGTATTGTAAATTCAAAACTAAAAATCCTCTATTATATACCTGATCGACATCTTTATTATGTCGTTGTAAAAGACGAATTAATTTGTCTTTTGATGTTTGTGGATAACGTTCTTGAAGAATTTGTAATTGTTCATCGTATTGTTGTTGATTTGTATCCATAACTGTACTTACTTGGAAATAAAGTGAAATGAAAAACACAACAGAAAAGTCGAACCTTTTATAGTGAGCAGATGAGTAATTCTGAAAACAAACTTGTGCAATTATGATGAAATAACATTACTAATTCTTTTGCTGTTATTATTGCCTAAATATAAATTTTGGTAGACGTGGCAATATATTTATTGATATAACGTCATATTCTCAGATGATGAATAATTTGAATGAAAAAATTGCTTATAATAAAATTTTACGAAATATAAGGAAAAACTAAAACCATAGCTAAGATTTTGAAGATTTTTCTTTAATTATTTTATTCATTAACTTTATTTTACATGTATTCAATTAGATAAAACAATCTAACATTTAAAAATTTTCTACTAATACAAAATGATTCTTTCAAGTGACTAAATACTAGTAGTAGAATCATAACGAAAAGGTAAGCTTTCCTAGAGAACATAAAAACGAATTCTGAACATTCGCCTTCGATTCTTGACTATCAACAATGCTCAAGATTTTATTAATATATTATTTTTGTTATATTTGAGTACCATAGATGAAATATTGAAGATATTTTTTTGTCATATTTATTTGAATGACTATTATTGTTTGTTAATATATCTCAATGTATTCATATATTGACTGTCACAAAAATTATTTGTTTTTATCTGTACAAGATCTTATATTAATATAGTAGATTTGAAATAAGTTTATAGAATTGAGAATACAATTCAATATCAAAAATAAATTATTTATTTTGATTTCCATATCTGAAGGCGTGCGCACGGTGAATTGATAGGGATTTGCCTTATTAATATTTAGTACAATATTTCTCAAGAAAATACTTAGACAATATTAAAAGAAAATCTAGAGTTCGATTCATATTCTATCGGAAAATGATCAGCATATAATGAACATTTTAAACGATCTCGTTACTAAAAGTTTGTTTTGTTTTCGAATATTGGTGAAGATATTAATGGTCCAAAATTGAAATCAGATTTTTTCTAACTATATGAAATTTATTTTGTATATTAATACATTAAAATTGTTATTAGTTTTTATCAAAACATTTCATGATTAGAATAATAAGAGCGTGAAAAAGAACCCACATCTAAAAAAAATTAAACAAGTCACTGTTTGGTCATTAGTTTTAGCTGCGGCTGCGATCGACGCCAATAAGTAAACGCTGAATAAACATATTCCATGATGAATCACTTAGTTCTAATTGTTGGCAATACAGGTCAATACGTTGATTTGTTCGTTGATAGAATTCGATCGCTTTATTTATTTGATGGTTCACATTAGCAGGTAAATGATTGCAAAGATGAATCTTCAATATATATAGAAATCAATGTAGGAAATGAAAAATTAACAAAAAAAAACCATTGATTACTTTCATTTGTTCAATATCAAATAAAAATTGAAATGTATTTTGTTGTGACACTAGTGTTTGAAGAGTAAGCCAAATAAGAATAACACCTGTGCCAATTAAACAAAGTATTTCATTCCGTATATTCAATGCTAAAAAGAACGAAAAATCTCATATTTCTATAGGTTAATAATAAACTATTAAACAGTACCGAATGAGTTGAAACCTTGTTCACGTAAGTAATTTTCAAGACCATTAAAAGTACCAACATCAATTTGAAATACATCAGCTAAATCTTTATTCAATGTAAACGATCCATCCTATATTCGAATTAAATACAAAACAATAAATATTTAATGAAATTTCAAAATCATGTAACCTTAGATTGAAGTTTGAAAAGTTCTTCAATCATGGTTGCAGAAGATCGAACATCTTTCAGTTTACTAAGAAGAGGTGCGTTAGACATTTGATCTAAATTGAAATATTATCGTTTTCTATAAAGACAATTAATAAATTACCACATGAATCCATGGTTTCACCAGAAAAATTGTGTAGTACAGATTCAGTTTCACCATCGAGCTAAAAAAATATCCGAGAAGTAAATGGCTGAACTGAGAAAAAAAAATGTCATAGTAGAAACCTTGTACAATGGATCATTGGATTTGCGATCATAAACTAGAAAATAATAATAATAATTAAATATCATTTATATTTTTCGGACTCACCTGATTTAGCTGCAAAACTTGGATCACTGTTAACATATGTAATATGTCGCTCAATATCATCTTTTGTTAATCCTACATAAATATAAATACGATTTGATTACGATATCAAATAATTATAGAATTATTATACTTTGATGATCATTAGATGTGATAGTAAAGGAAGCTTTGGCACCCGAACGTGTTTCTTCAGCGTCGACATGAAGTATACCATTAGCATCAAGATCCATTCGAATAGAGATTTCAAGTGTCTGAGCAGCATAATTACTCGTCAGACCACAAAGGTTAAACTCACCCAAAAAATTCTACAATAAAAAAAAGAAGCTATTAAATTGCGAAAACTGCATATGCATACATTGTATTTTGTAAGATTGTGTTCGCCTTCAAATATACGAATAGTAGCTGTTATTTGATAGGCATAAGCATTGGTGAATATTGGATAGAATTGTGTACATGTTGGAATGGTAGTATTACGACGAATAAATGTGTGCATTTGACCATGAATATCTTCAATACCAAGACCAAGTGGACAAACATCGAGAAGAAGGATATTATCTACAGATTCGTCAACTATTGAACATAGTTCTATTGATGATTGAATGCTAAATTTTAATAAAATAATAATTGATCTTAAGTATTGACGTGATATAAATTAAAATTTACGGTGTGATTGTTTTCTTCTTAAAAGCTGTAAAATGCGATTCTCCATCGTTGAAAAGACCACTTCTCATCTTTCTGTTGTCCACTTTCTTCTAGAAGAAAACGAAATATTCATTAAAGGGTTCCATATGAATGTACGTACTCCGATGAAGGCGAATGACTTTTTCATGGAAGCACCGCGTTTCATATCAATTCGCTCATCGCATCTCTCTTCATCTGTAGAGAAGAACTTAGAGTAAATAAATAAATGATCTCAACTAACTTACCATCCATTGAAGTTTGTGATTTCTTGGCAACAATCATTGATTTGCCATGTTGAGCACTACGTGGCAAACTTTTTCCACCTTCATATTATATTCACAGAGATAACCAGGAAATTCATAGGGAATGAGACTTACTAGTACTTGCCCAAGGATGTAATGCCATTGCTGTTGTTGTTGTTGTTGTTGTTTGTGTCGCTGAAGATTCCATACGACTACCTTCACTACCATATAGAGCTGCTGACTCGTCTAGTAACAATGATTGTGCTTGAAGTGCGTTTGGAAGTTCCATTTGAGGAGCTGCAAAAGGAAAAGTAGTTTTATAAGTGACCACTCAAATAGTAAGCTTGCTCCAATTTAGTCTTGAACACGAGTTTATACTTTGAGGATTTAGTTTCTGCGGTTATTATTCAATTAAAGAGTCATTTGGCTAATTTTACACATGCATTCATATCTGCAGTTCTCAAGAATGAAAAAATAGGTGAAATCTAATGAATACTTAATTCAACATTCATTATAGTGATCTTTTCTTTTGTTAGTAAAACATTTAATTGCAATGTTTGGCTAACAACATAAAAGACTAGTGAATGAACCTTAGAAATATTGAAAATGATAGTATCATAGATTTGAAACGAATTAATATAATGAAATATATGTATTTTGCTTATATTTTTAAGTACTTAACACTATTCTGAAATCTTCAACATATGTTAACATATTTGTTATACTATTTTTCTTTGATGCATAAAACTGTTTAACTTTCAAAGAAGATAATAAATAAAAATAAAATATGGGGAAATTTAACTGAAAAATAAAACTGATATAGATATGAATAAATGAAACTTCTACTGTTACTTAGTTGTAAGATGTTTCTATCGAATGAAGTCTGTTGGTAATAATCACCTTGTGAGAATGACGTTGTTGATGCTACTGTTGATTTTTGAGGCAGTGGAGCATATGATGAATACATTTGTGGAAAAGATGGTGGAGGAGGTGGTGGAGGCATTCGTGGAGGAGGTGGTGGTGGAGGCATTCGTGGGAAAGGTGGTAGAGGAGCAGTACCAACAGTTGTTGACTCTAAATGAATTCATGCCATATTGAATTGATTAGAAATCTCATGATATCAAACAAAAATAAAAATAAATAAATATCATTCTAACTGTAACTTACGAGAAATAGGCGGTAAATTAGCACCAGGTGAATAGTACATATAGTAGGGGTCAGCTAAAGCCCCAACTAAAAGAGAACGACTGATAGATTCTAATAGAATTTCATTCAAATATATTGAGAAGGACAAAGTAAAAAAAAGAGGTATTTAATCAGTAAACTCATTTTTTTTAATGTTTCATGTATTACGATACAATTCTTGAAAACATTTATCAAGCATGTAGAAAATTCATTTTTGTATTTGTAATATCTCTAGAGAAATTACTGAGTTCAGGGTACCCATGTACTGAGAAAGCTCTAGTAGGGTACCCAGTAAAGGTACTTTGAAAATTCTCAGTAATTTTACTGACGTAGGTACTGTTTGGGGTACCGGTAAAAGTACATTTACTGAATAAGTACCTGCATGGATACTCAAGTCTATAACTTTACTGAGGAAAGCTCGACAAGGTATCTGAAATTTGTCGCGTTCTGTGTGGCAACTATTCGTTCACCGCTTTCTTTTTTATGCATGACTGTATATAAACAACTCGATAAATCATAAGAAATTAATCTATTTTCATACTAATTTTTTTCTAAATTATTTCTTGACTATTTCTTAGTGGAGAAAATGCCGAGCTTGGTCGTAAATTAAGATTGGACTATCCTGAAGTGGTCTACGATCAACTCAAGTCAAGTCGGATCCCGACATAGCATCTGATAAGTGTTTAGAATTGAAAAAAGTTAAATTGGATAAAAAGAATTAAATTGAATAAAAGAACTAAAATTGAATAAAAAAATTAAGTTGAATAAAATTTAAAAAAAATTCAGTAAAATATCTCAAGAAAAAGAAAACGTTTAGAGAGTCAAAGATCAGGTTCGATCCTGGGATACTGAAAATTTGGTAACATGGTACTTAGAAATACTATACAATGGTACCCAATTCAGAACTTGATCAGTACCTTGAGGTATCCAATTACTGTGTATTTTCCAGCAGGGTACTTGCCAAAGTACCACTTAAGTACCTGTAGGTACCTACAAGTACTTTGGTACCTAAAAGTTCCTGTGACATACTGGTATCAGGGTACTTTTTTGGGTACCCTTAACGCAGTATATTTTCTAGGGATAATGTCACTGTACTGTAAAGTCTTTGACACTGAGGAAAAACAAGAAAAAAGTGCTGATGTTCAAAATTCAATTTTTGTTTTTTAACTGCAAAAATTTTTGAACATTTTAAATTTAACGTGTGAAATTTTTCGGTCAATAAATGTCTAGGTATATGTGAACGAAGTAAATTTCGGTTTCAAAGAAATATCTGTCATGTTAATTATTGATTTTGTATTTACGTTAAAAAAGATATGTAAATCGATACATTATTTGTCAATGCAAATCTTACATAGTTTTTTTTATTACTAATTTGTTTTTCTTTAAGTACTAAAGACGAAGACATTTCTTTGATCTATTTCTTAAGTTATTTGAAACTTTGACTTTCTCTTTTTTGTATTTTATGAATGCATTTTCTGCCAAGTTTATTATATTTTCTATTATAGGAAAAATTCTAAATGTTATAATTTTGATCAACATAAGCACTGAACAGCGAGTGGTAAGATGTCTTATAGAAATCATTATTCTGTCAATTCAAGTTCAATTCCAAAGACAAAAAAAAAACATGAAATACGTTCGATTAGTTCATGTGCACTTGAAAAAAACAAAAAACATCATTAAAAAATTAATCTCTTTTGTAGTTTGGGCGTAGTCATAATTTTAGATAATTTGTTAATAAACAGTCAGTTTCAAGAAATCCGAACATAAATAGAATTTATATGGCATCAAAAGTGAATATAAGCATTGGTAGATCAAAATTTAGGTTTTACCTTGAGGTTGAGCCATAGAATAGTTGATGCTACCAAGAGGTCTTATCAATGATTCAGACATAGATATTTTTGCTGAAGATGGTTTTGGCAGTCTTCCTTTAGTCGGCAATCTAATAGGAAATGCTAATGATTACATTATATACTACAGGAAATACAGACGCTTGCTTCATAGTAGTATGTGTTGATAGTTGGGGAGCCATTGTTGTTGATGCAAATAGTGGTGGTGGTGGTGGTGGTGCAGGCACAGGTTCTATAAAAAGAATATTATGAAATAAATATAATGCCATTAGCGATCTTCTCTATGTTCTCACTCTCTTTCATTTTCATGGAAACTTCTTCATCAGCACCTGAAATGATTTTTATAGTAGCCAATTTATAATCCATTAAAGGAGACTTACGCGTATCGGTGAATCGTGCATAAGACAAATCACTACCTCCAACACTATCTCTGCTGCGTAACTCAGGTATATGTGGCACAGACGATTGTTCTTCCGGAAAATTTATTATTGATGCGAATTGTAATCGATATTCTTTCGCTAAAAATCAATTCCCAGTTATAGCTTCATAGCAGTTCAAAATTAAACACTTTTTTTTCACTAAAGACAACTACTACGAGTTATAAAGAAAATATTACAACAAAATTAGTACGATGAGCAATTTTTTGCCGAAATATGTTGGGTCTGAATAAATGATATGGAATTATTAAAGATATAGTGCTTGATAATCTAGCCGAAAAGAAGTTCAATAACTTTTTATGCAAGATATTTGAGTAGACTTTAATTTTAAAGATCAATTTATGTCATTCAAATTGAGTACAATGATTTTTCTCTGAATCATTGCTGTTGCATTACCGTGATTTATTGTGAAATTTTAAAAATTAAATTTTTTAAATTATGAAAGAACAAACTTATTCTATTAATCAACTGTAATTTTTGATTACATTTAGCATAGAAATTGCTTCGATCGATAACAATGTTTTATGCGCAAATTTTCACAAAAAAAAAATGTCTCGTTTAGACGAAACTATGACAGGATCTTATTATAATAGAAGTTGTATTACTTACGGGGATAAACAATGGAGGACTCATCCATCGTGTCCAAAACACTCCAATCCATATCATCGACTCGTTTGTCTGACTCTATTAATTCCGACGCTTCTTGTATTGATATTGAACTCGGTTCTTGCTCAGGCATGTACTCTAAAAGGAATAGTTGCATTCCAAATATGAAATAAGTAGAATTATATATAGAAACAAGTAACTAATTTATTATAAATTTTTGATTCCTGAGTGAGCTTCAGTCATCGATGAAAAGATTATATATTGAAATAGATAAACGATCATTGATTTATTTTTTAGACCCCTATAGTGGATACAAATAACTTCTTCATAAATCTCTTGCAATATTAATAATAAAGAAGTTTTGATATATCGTAGCAAGCTATTACTAATATATGATCTGTATTCATATATCAATAACGTTTGTCACGATCTTGATCAAGTCATACAAGTTTCTACTCTCAATACTTCAAATTTCTTGTTTAATCTTCTTTGATAAAATCTCAATAGCACATCAGATACTTCTGTAAAAAATACTATAGTTGATGTATGCATACCAAATAAGTCGAAGCGCATATCCTCCGCCTCGTCGACGGATTCTATTGTTGGACCTCCGGCCTTCATTTCTAAAAGAAAAATACAGAATATCGAAACTGATTGTTGAACATGAAATTATGATAAGAATATTTGTTGCTCTGAAACAGAATTCAAGTTTTTTATTTCTAAACATCAAAATATCACTTCCAGTTTCTCCACGAAATCAGTATATTGAGATTCAATTATTGTCATTAAATATTATATAATAATATACTCTCTAGATTGATTTTTTTAAAAAGCAACATTAAAATATATTTATATGGATGTGAACCTAAATGATTAACTCAATATATATTTTGTGTTGTTTAATATTCATGAGATGTAATAAAAGAAGAATGATATTAAATGTCTACTATATATATATATATCAATATCCTTTTCTTTTAGATCGTATATCATATCAAATGTAAAACTTACGAGAGATTGAGCAAAAAGACTGTGGCATGTCATCGAAGTAGCCAAAACCCATATCGTCTCCTTCTTCCTCTTCTGCGTCGCCGTCGGATATCATTGGTGAGCTATCTTCATACATTTTGTTCAGTATCATTTTCTCTTAATGAAAAATATACAGTAATTAATTTGGACATTAAATTAATTATAACATATATATGGACGTGGGCAACCGACATGGTATCCCATTTTGATTCAGTCCTATAGTGAGGAGAAAACATACTATTGTCCGGGTTATATGAGAAAGGATTCCAGATAACTTTGGTATGACCTGAACAACACCATATTTTATCGTTAGAATAATCGAGAAAAGCTATCAGCTAACACTATAAGCTTCTAGCTTTACATCTTTATTCTAACGGTAAATCATGGTGTTGTTCAAGCCAAACCAAGATTATCTTGAATCCTCTCTCATATGACCCGGACATTAGCATATTTTATCCTCACTATAGAACTGAATCAAAATGGGATACCATGTCGGTTGCCCACGTCCATATGTATTGAAAAGTAAAACTTGTCAAAATTGTTTGTATCTCTACTACGAAATCAAACTCTTATTTTAAAATTAAATTTGTTCATATACATATATATCTATGAAAGAAATGTAAATAATGAGATTTAATCATATATATTAATGTAACAAAAGACTAATACTTTAGAAAAATAATGTAAAATATTACTTTGAATTCATAAATAATTAAATAGAACTAACGAGATTGAATGAATATTGACTGTTAAGTAGTTTAAGGTATTTTTTAAACATAAAAATTAGAAAAAGCTATCATTTTTTTGAAAATCATATTTTAATTTAAGTTTATCTTGAACTTTTGAACTGAACTCAATGAGATAAGCAAAATTTTAACATATTTTGAAGAATACGTCAGAAAATCCATTAAACTAATAAATTTTATCATTGTTTTTTTTTCTTTTTAAATAGAAAGTTAATTCTAGAGTAGGCATATGATAAAATAAATTAAATATACTCTCATAGGTGATTTTCAGTCGAAATAAGTTCCTACTCAAAGATCAATAGATCCTTTTGAGTAACATTAAAAGTGTTGCTTCATCTATATACTGATTCAAAAGGTGAAATCTCAAGAATGGAATTGAATATTGTATCTCTCAATTTGCTCTTTAATAAAGTTTCTTATATACTAAGATATACGAAAGGTTCAAGATTAGTGCTCTGCTTTTAGTTAATTGACTTGGTAGTAGATCAAATATCTACACTAACCATTTATCGTATCATCAAAATCGACGAATGATTCACTACAATAAAAAAATAAATAAACATGAAATTTTATTATGATTATTATTAACACCTCTATTGTCTTCTACATACTTTTCATCACTGGCGATGATGAAATCATTAGCTTGACATCGTTGTTGTAGTGCTTGTCGTTCTTCTGTTGTTGCACTGATCATTTCATTTTTAAGATCTATTTAACTTTTAGAATTAAAATTTATGAATATTTGTCTATAATTATATAACATACCGCTTTGCATTTTATTTTCGATTTCATTTGCTTTTTCATACTCATTTAATGTATAACGATACGTACGTATGACAGTCATCATCAAATTAAATTTTGCATCACCACCTGCTCGATAAGAAATCTTTTCACAAAGTTTTTCCATATCAACTATAGATTCTTTTTTGCTTTGAATTGATGTACTTTCAAGTGAAATACGTGCATCGATTAATTTCTGTTTGATTATATCTAAATTTGATATATTACCATCCCATCCTATGTATGGTAATAAGTCAACATCTCGATCATGCATAACATCAAGAAGATGAACACCTATAATAGATAGTAATTACATAGTTCAATTTCTTTATCAAAATTTTCATCAAAAGAGTTTGAAAAGCACGAATAGCATGAAAAAAAATGTATCCTGAGATAAATAGAATAAAGCAATTATCTTTGTGTTTGCTGATAGCGATTAGTTGTTATCTGGCTTCGTAGCGACACTTTGTAAACATATAGGAATATATAGGATTTTAAAACGCCATTTATATAGGATCATCTATTCCTATATAGGATATTTATAGGACATCAGTTTTGAATAAAATTCTATACATATATATATATGTATATGCATATCACATAATTTATTTCAAAAAAAACAATTTGAATCAATGTCAAAAAATAAATGCGGAAACTTCGGATTTTATCCGAAAGTTTAGTGTACTACAAAAAGTGAATGAGGCAGATTGAGTCATTCTAGAATGCATCAGCAGCAAAATTATCATCAGACATCTTTTCTATAAACACGACTTCTATTCACTCCTGCCCCTCCACAAAGACTTACAGTAGAATAGAACTCACATTCGAACCCCTCGTCTTGAATTATTCTAAGAGAACCATTTTTTGTCATAAGTTGATTTAAATGGTTATTGATCAACCGATGAGACTTTGAAGCAAATCTAGTACAGATTCAAGTTCTCTCATCCAGAGAAACTCGAAGTAGCATATCTCTGATCCGATTAAAAAAACTCGAATTATGGGCTCATGAGGTCATTGACAATGTTCGAATTACTTCTTCTTTAATTTAGCTTGTCTTATAGATGATTCAGGTGGGATTTTATTCAACTCCGATGGAAAAGTTTCTTACAAAAGCGACGATATAACGATCTTTCCATCGAAAATCATAGGAATAAATCAGCATTTTTACAATAACTCGGACGAGCCCATCCAATCAGATCCATCTTTGAACTCGACCGAAAGATTAATGAAATTGAACTGTGTGGAAAATTTCACCAGGATCTAACTCTCCCTTCGAAAGTTATCACGTAACTGACCGGCCGCAAACACTGATCAATTCTATAGTGGACTCACTTTTTGAGTACATTAAAACTATGATTTGGTTCAAAAGTAACATCAGATTTAGGGTCAGCGTTAAAAACTGAGTCGATTTATGTGTTTTGTGAATAATTCTGAGTAAAAAATTTTTTTTCGAAAGATCCCTGTACCCCCCCCCCCTCAGGGATAGTCTGGCCAAAAATCACAATTTTTTTGATAGCACAGCCATTTCTTGACGGATCCTTCTCATCTTCGAACTTGACCGATATATTCTAAAGACTGAATTATGTAGAAAGTTTCATCGCAATCTGACTCTCTTTTCGATAGTTATCGTGTAAACGGCCGGACGGACATACAGACCGATTATAGTAGTGTACTCACTTTTTGAGTACAATAGAAACAATCCTAATTTTTATAAGAGATGAAATAAAAATTAAAACACATAATTGATCAATTGAATATTATCTAAAATATCTTTGAATAGTAAAAGTTTCGACTTTCATTATAATTTTCAATATTTAACATAATTAAACTCCACATACATTATCCAGAAAATATCAATCTTTCTAATAAAGAATTTTGGGTAAAGCACAAAGAAAAAAACAACTATTAATAGTTGTAAAAAATACAAGAAGTGAATCATCAAAACAATGAATAGAAAGAATAAAACACGTTGTACTTATATACTTGTCACTACTATCCACATAATTCGTTTCACATGTTAATAAAATTACTGAAAGCGCATAAATCTATAGTTATTATTATCAAAACATGCAACTTTTCTGGCACAAACCTTCATTTTTTTTAAATATAGGAATATAGGAAAATTTAAAAAAAAATAGGACATTATAGGACTGATTCCAAAAATATAGGAAATATAGGAAAAATAGGACAACTATGAGGCCAGGTTGTTATTTTATTTAACTTTTTTACTAACCTGGTTGAAGAGTTTTTGCATCTGTTTTAGCATCACGTTCTTCGATAGCAACAAAACTCGTATATGTACTGACAACCGAATGTTTTATGCTTAGATCAATGAGATCTTGTTTATATTGAACTTTCATCAATTCATTTTCACTCTCATCTACATGTAACATTCCATTTTCATAATCATCAATAATTGCTCGAGCCGTTAAACAATGCAAGATACGTCCTTTGGTCATTGTTGTTGAACTGCTAAATACTGTAGTGACAAACTCTTGTCCATCGATAGTAGCCGTTAATGTAGCCTTATGACAATTTTGTATAAATCGATAGACATTTAATCGCATTCCATTAAACAATGATCGAATTATTTTTGGTGCTTGCATATTAAATTTTTGTTGTTCATCTGGATTTCCATGCCAATCAATTGATATACTTGTTACACATGGTTGTCGAATTTGTTCAAGAAGATTTAATACTTTTGTTTTCCATTTTGATCGATAATTCGAATCGAAAACAATCGTTAGACCACCTCCACGTGCTCCATTTGCTAATTGTTTCAAACCATGTTTATTAGCAACATTACCTATTGAACATGTAAATATACGATCTTGACGCATAGTTGATTGATTTTCGAGTAGAACAAGAATCGATTGAAAATCATGAATATGTCCATCAGATAGAATAATAAATTGACGACCATATTTTGATGATGGTAATGGTGTTAATAGTGAATAACGATGAAGAACAGCATATAGATCTGTATTACCACGATGAACAAGTGAATGCTAAAATAAAAGAATACATAATAATATTTCAATAGTAACATAAAACAAATCAATTACTAACTAGAACAAAATGTTTAGCTTTCTCAAGATTTTCTTTGGTTGCTGGTGTTGAAATTGGGAAACATTCATCATTATCTAAATAATTCGAATTTAAACAATAGAATAATTCTATAGATTAGCATTGTATATACCTGATCCAAATGTAACTATATTAAGGTATGTATTTCCATCGTCGACTTTCAAATTTGTAAGAAATAAATGAGCTATTTGTTTAGCTTGTTGTACATGACTACCATCCATTGAATTGGATACATCAATAATAAAAATAAGTTCAACTTGTTCGTTTGACTTTGTTAATGTTTCAAATCGTGGATAAAATGTAAGCATACATGCTTGAGATTCATTATTATTCGATGTTATTGTTGTTTGATTTTCATTATCTAATAATAATGATTCAATTGATAATCGAGGTAGATTAGCAGTTTTAAGTGTTATCGAAAGAACAAAATCTCGATCAAGTAAAACATTATCAATAAGTTCAATCATTGCTATACAATCAGTTAATTTTCGTCGAAGATGATGTGTTGGTGAAAATAATTTAATTATTTCATATGGCATTCGAATTGATGCTTTGAAACTAAATTCAACTTTTTCATCGGCAATACCAATTGATCGTACGATTGATTGATCTTTACTTTCGAGTGCTTGTTTCGATTGCCATGATGCCATTTTAGCTGGTAGACGAAATATAATTTCACCATTTTCAATTTCTAATTCGGCAACATAAGTTATTTTAATAATGACTTCATTATTTGCTGGTAAATTACCAACAGCTACACTAAATACTTGTGCTTGTTCTTGATGCATCAAATAAGCACCATGTCCTTGTTCAATTGCTTCTCGATATTCTTTTTTAGCTTGTTCTTTTTCTTTGACAACACCTTTTATTACTTTATTATTGATATGTGCTTCGAAACCACATACAGCTGAATTTTCATCAAGAGGAAATACATATTTAGCTTCAATTGGTATTGAACTTGTATTATGATAAACTTGATAGAGAACAACCTTTTTATGTTAGAAAAAAAAAAAAAACAATATGACTCTAATAATAAAAAAATTTAATATAATTACTTCAACAGTAGTATCAATAATTTGAGCACGAATATGAAATGATTTAAGTGGTACAAGTTTTCCCGATGATGGATTTATTAAACCATAATCTTGTTCGGCGATTTCAATAACTTCATCTTCAATTATCATTGGAACTTCGTCTAGAACATAAGAGATAATCAAATTGAATTTCATTTTAATAAAAAACTACTTAATTCTTATTACCATGTTCACTTAATTGTAGTGCATGTTGTTGATGATGAATAATTGGCAATCGTTCTAATTCAATATTTAAATTATCATGTAGTATCCATGAAACTTCGACAATAGAGAGTAAACGTTGTTGATCAAGTTGATAGATTGCATATTCATTATCCTAAAGTTAGATTATTAATGATAAAAAGTCTGAAATGAAGATTAATTGTCAAATTTTTGTCGTGTAACTTAATATGAGTCATTTAAATCTAAGCAAAAACCATACCTTTTCTTTCTCTCTCAATCAGATATATAAACTAACAAGAAATTTTTTCTCTACAATCTACTTACAATAAACATTGAATTGTTTTCTTCGATTCGTTTAACTCCATGTGTACTATGAAAACCATCAGGAGGTTTGACTAGAGTTGGTGCAAATGAATAATAATTAGCCGATTCACCAAGTGCTACTTGGCAAATACATAACAATCGTCTACCAGGTCGTGTTGTACTTGCTGTTGTATATTTTAAAGATGTTGAAGCAGAATCAGAAAAATAAAGTCCATAACCAAGACAACCTATATCAGTACGTGTGACACCTAAGTCTTCTACTACCATTTTTGGCATTGCTAAACCACTGAATATGTATAATTCTATTAGTTTTAGAAATTGAAATGAATTTTTTTTTACCGTGAAAGAATTCCAAGAAAATTTGCATATTTTGATCCATGAAATAATTGCTGTTGATTTGATATAGATGTACAAAAATTTACTGCATCTGTTTGTTTAGCTACACTGAATATTTGATGAATAACAATTTGTTCACCACTAATGAATAAACCTATCATTATAAAAACAACTTTTATTTTTTTTTCTTACCTGTCTGTTGATGATTGAATCAATTCAGTAATATTTCTAAATTCTAGTGTTGAACTATCGATATTTTCAATGTGACATTTTAATGCTCGATATTTGGCTTCGATTGGTGCTTTAACATTCCAATTTGTTAATTCGTTTACTGTGAGCATATCTCGAAGCATCTGAACAAACGAATGATTATTTCTAACTATTGAATAAAATAATACATACTTGACATAAATCAATTTTTTCTGTTAATGCTCGACGATTTTTTATAAGATCAACATTATATTGTGATCGATGAGGAATGAGTGAATAGAAACGAAGTGCAGTAGCAGGATCATTCGTTGTTTTCAATTCAAGTAATGCAGCTTCAGCTTCAATAATCTATATTATAATTAAAGAATAAAATGAATTTAAATATAGAAAAATGAATAAATATACTGTTTTAAGAGTGATTGATTCAGGCGCTACGCTCAACATTTTATTCAAATCACCAATCGATTCTAACCATATTGATTCGATTAATTGACCGACATTTTCATCAAGTATTTGTGTATCGATACGATGAGTAAATAAAGACTAAAACTAATTGTTTTTTAGATGAAAAAAAAAATTATTCTTTTACATACACGTAACAATAGTTTTGATCCTAATTTATCAGGTAACATCTCACGAATTCGTGTAACACGTGGCATTGTAGCTACTCGATAATAATACGTAGAAAACAATTGTTGTTGTTCATAGGAATCATCAGTGAATGCATATTGTATTAATACTTTTTTATTTTTTTGTTGTCCATCATTAATAATTGTTTGTTTTTCATAACGAAATCGTATTCGATAATCATTCATTGTTCGATCATAGTATTGTTCAGGAATGACTTGAAGTTCAAGTGCAAAGTACACATCTGAATTATCATTCGTTTCCTATGATAAATGTCATATGTATGATAGAACAAAAGCTACTAAATAAAACAATACTTTAAAAATAGCCCATTTTGCAACTTCACAATGTGTTAACTCATCGAAACAAGGTAAATTAGCATCATCTGAATTCCAAATTTTAATTTTAGTTAAATCGAGTTTATTGATTTTGATTGCATTAGCTCGAGGTCCTAATAAATAAACATTTTAAATATGATTGAAAAATATGATAGATACATACCTATGACGGATATAGTACCAGTGTTAGTAAAATTTTCTTGATCTTCCACTGACTTCATGATAAATTTGTTTATATCGATCGTTGTTTGACCAGGTGGTAAACGACGATATTCATAAACATATTCAATATTAACTAGTGGTAATCCAAGTTGTTTTGCACGACGTGTCTTATAGTTATCTACATTATTTGTGATCAAAACGTAGTCAGTCTAAAAATACTGAGATGTAGTGACATCTTCATCCCACATAAAACAAAAACATACACTAGCTGTAAGAATATATGAAATATGTGCTTGTTGTTCTTGTAAATATTTGATTAATTCTTGTTTAGCTTTAAAACTAATTTCACGACCAAGTTCAAGTACAATAGTTTTTCCATTGAATGGTGATGACAATGAAGTCGATGCTGCAGTCGACTTCATCTGAAAATAATCAAAAACTTTCTAACCAATCTACGAATGTAATCGTTATAGTTGTTATCCTTCGTCTTGACTAATATCTTTAAAGAAAATATTATAAATATTGTCTGTGCTTCACTTTTAGAGTGAAATCGTATCAAAACTAGCATTATAAATTTTGATGATTCATACATTCATCTGCTGCTTGATAAAAAGAGAAGAAAAGTAGTATAGAAATGTGTTTTTTTTATAGTTCTCAACACGTATGCACATTGTATACGTGTTGTGTTATTGCACAAGTCAGCGAAATCAGTATGCGGTAGAGTTTCAGGTAAATCATGGAATAGAACACTAATGCAATTCATCATTAATACTGGCATCAACGAAACAAACGGATCGATTAAAAGCTGACAACAGAAGTTAAGATGCATGCACAGTTCATTAATTATGAATTCGTGAAAATACACAGAGTTCTTAAAGTTCGATCTTAAAATCTTTTGATAAATCTTACTATTTAATTTCAGTATATTCCATTTTTGACGAAATACAATTTGTATAAAACTCTATTTGAAATGATCGCATTGAATACTGTTGTATTATATACAACGACATATGGTTGGCTTTCTGTAGGATTTTCACATATGTTGAAGACTGATGAAATTGTCAACTTTTGTTTAGGTATTAAGTTTAAGCATTTTGATGATGAGAAAATTTCCGAAAAACTTACTTTGTCGGGAATAGATTCAAATTATTATAAACAAGGAAGGAAAATCAATAACAATTCGTGGGTGTGAGTGTGGGTGTGGGTGTGGGTGTGTGTGGGGTGTGGGTGTTGGTGTGGGTGTGTGGGTGTGGGTGTGGGTGTGG